AGGAAAGCGGACAAAAGAACCTGCATAGACCACATGGTGGATTCAAACCCAGGAACCTTCCTGCTGTGAGGCAACAGTGCTAACCACTGCTTGGTATTTTTTCTGGTGATTCCCAAAAAAATAGAATTTGTTCTTTTTTTTAAATTTATGTTTTATTAGTTTTCTTATTTACACAACAAATTCAACTCAATCACCATGGGGGGGAAAGCAAGACCAAACCGAACAACAACAGAAGAGACAAACGGACCAAAACAAAACCAAACAAAACACAAGAACAAACAAATAAACCAAGAAATACAATGACATTATACAAAATCGGGCCTCCCATTTTGTACATATTTCAACCATTTCAACCAATATTCTTCAAATGAGTCCGCCTGCCACTTTAGCCTAAAGCTTATTCTTTCCATAACAAATATATTATATATCACATCATCTATGGTAGGAATATCCTCTTTAATCCAAAGGCGAGTAATGGCCTTTTTGCAAGCTACCGACAGCACACTGAACAAATATTTATCCGGTTTGCATAGATTAAGAGTCTCTAGGTTGCCTATAGGTACAATAATGCAAAATTAAATTGTATTTTCTTTTGGAAGATTGTTTCCATGACCTTATGTATTTCCTTCCAAAATGGAACCACACAGGGACATTCCCAAAAAATGTGGAAATGATTTGCTGTTGCATGTCCACACTGCCTCCAGCATGTTGTATTCTGAGAATAATTGGATTTTTGGGCTGGGGTAATAAAATAACGAAATACATTCTTCCAGAATTCCCTCCACGAGAGGGAGCTTGTTACTGACCACTGCTGCCTCCAGATCCCATCCCATTCCTCTCCTGTTAGGAATAGATTGCTCTCTGTTTCCCATCTTGCTTTAACATATCTTGTATCATGACCCCGTAGATTGATCAGTGAACAATATAATTTGGAAATAATTTTTTGATAGGGTCCATCTCTATATGCATTCTCAAATATATTTATAATCTCTTCATTCCCAGTCGATAACTGAGAATTTTTAAGCTTTTTATTCAGGAAGTCCCTCAGTTGCAAAAATCTAAAAACAATCTTGATTTTGCAACCCAAACTTTTTCTTAAAGTCTTGGAAACTCATCACTTTTCCATTTTTCAACAAGGTACTGTACTGTACGGTACTGTAACATACGGTACTGTAACATAAATTCTATACAATCAGTACAGAATTTATGTTCTAAATAATTCCTGTACTAATTTTACATCAAATATGAGTGCTGGCTCATGACTTTTGCACAGACTGAATGTAAGACAGTGGTTCACATCTCCATCAGTCCCTGTCGTCCAGCTCTACGTCTAACTTTATCTCTCCGTTGGATCCTATTTCCTCGGCACCTTCTGTTCCTGACTTTTCTTGAGTTTTCAGATGTTTTAGTTTCCCTGCAGAAATGAAAGAGAACTGGTTCAACATTAGATGTTCTTCATCATCACTTAAGAACATATGATGAGCTCAGTGCACTGATATGATCTGACAGTGTGAAACTAAAGCCTTTTTAAAAGTATGCAGGCAGGCTGTTTGAATAAGATATATAATCTTCATAGCCTGCGACACGTTTCTTACATGTTACGATGAATCTGACTGAACTGATCACTACAGAAGAGTTGTCAGAAATAGCTGAGCCAACAAAGGCACAAGTGGAGTGTTGTACCCACTCTCAGTGACAGTAAATGCATTTCTCTGTGCTGACGATAAGATTTCAGAGATGTGTGATCAGGAACTGAGGTGAGCTTATTGAAAAGCAGATATTGATTAGCAGATGATCAATAGTCTGAACAGCCTGAGTCAAAAACAGAGAAAACTGCTGTTCTGGCAAAATGTAAAAAAATAATATTAAATTTGAATGCAGTTGATCAGAGTAATCGCATCACTAACCAGCCGACTTCTGAGTGATGTTTGTGTTTGTCTCGTGCACAGCATGGCCGTTGGTGGCACCTTTGTCCGATGTTTCTCCACACTGGCTCAAATTTACAAGCTCTGCAGTTTGAGGTTCACGTTGGAGTGAGTCTGTAGAAATAAACAAGTTCATGCTTCAGTGTTTTTCATAAATGTTACCATTTAACTTCCAACTTTTCCACCAAAAACAAGCCAGCCTATCACACCTTTCTTAAAGGTTCCCATTCAAATACGTTTTCACTCCTTGACTTGTAACTGAATGCTTCGCTTACCTGTAGGACCCCTTTCAGTTGACTCACTCAAATGTGTTGTGTGCTCAGCTGGCCCAGGTGTTGGTGCGTCACGGCTGTTGGGGCCACTCTTGTCCACGGTTTCTCCGCACTTGCTACAGGTACTGAGACTCAGAACTGCGGTGTACGGTCCACAGCGATCTGAGTCTGTAAAAACACACAACTTTATGTTTCTGTCCTTTTACAGACTGATCATATTGTCACATTATTTTTAATTCACAGTATGTAGGTTAAAGTTTAGCTGTGTATAACCTTAATAGCATAACCACCAGTCAGTCTAACTCTGTTGTTGTACCACCTTTCATGATGATAAGACCGGACAGATGGAAACTAATTACTGTTTGTTGTTTTCCTTTATGAACAAATCAGATAATTACTCAAAACTTAAATAACTATTTTAGATTTTAGTCTTATTTAGCATTTACCCTTTATTAGTCACAGTACAAACAGGAAGTATGAGGAAGACTGACACACTTAAATGATGCTTGAGAGCTGAATTTGCTTTCATTCTCTCTCAGTAAATGACTGTTTACAACCGAAACTAAATGGTTTTGGGTGTCACTGTGGTTTAGGTTTCCATCTAACAAGCAGAGACAGATTCTGGAAATATCCACTGTCCTGTCTGTGAAAAAATAACAAACAAACAACAAAAAAACTAGAAAATAAGAACATTTATGTTTCTGTACTTTTACAGACTGCACACATACACACAACCCTGCATGCAGACAGTAAATATTTTTACTGTTAGCATGGCGTGCTTCTGTCATGGACATCAGTGCATGGGCCAGGAACACAGCTCACAGAGCCGTGCACAAACGCAGGTTAAAGCTCCATCGTGGAAGGAATAAGCCACGTGTAATCATGATCTAAACCACCGCTCTGGAAAACTGTTCTGAGGTCAGACAAATCCAAATGTAAAATGATTGTTGGAAAACAAGGATTAACACTAACTAACAGTGTGGGGGTGCATCTATTCACATACCACAGTCCAGTGTGTTACACGACACACAGGGAAAATGCAAAAACAATAACATGAAATCAGTATTTTTGCACCCTGCAGATGGTTAATAACGTCATTTCTTTTTAAACGTACCTCTCTGACATGTTCCGATGGCGCCGATCGTGAGTAACGTTCCCACAGCTCCAATTAGAATTCCAAGCACAACACTCCAGCCATGATCTAACACTTTGCATTCCTCAAATATTTTCTCTGAAACACGTGAAAAACAGCAAATCTAAAAAAAGAGTCCATCTGCAGGTTATAAACGTCATACTGTATCCAAAAATACTTTTATTTAAATATAGAAAAACTAATAATAAAACACCAATTTAAACCCAACAAAGAAGAGAAATCTCACCGGGCACATAGATCTCTGCTTTAGTCTGGTGGTGGATGTCCTCCTGCCTGGCTACGCAAACAAACAGGTTAGTTGTTGTCCTGCTAACGGTGGATCTCAGGGAGACGTAGTAGCGTCCTCGCTTTTCCAAGACCTGTGGCTCCTCGGCAGGGAGAACGTTTCCATCGCTGTCCTGCCACTCCAACTTTGGTTTGGGAAAAACGCCTGGAACCTCACATCTCAGCGTCACCCCGTCCTCTGTGACATTAAGTATGGCAGTATATGGTGTCATAGACGCGCCTGTAAATAGAACAGCGTGTGAATAGTTTGTAGAAATGTGATAATATGACATTTTGTCTACAGCTACTTAAATAGCTTACAAAAATAAAACCACAGCACGCCAAAAGAATGAACCTAAAATGTGATGAAAATTAAGCTGAAACTTTGGTGGTCAACAGAAACCTAGAAAGTGTTCAGGTTTTGTCCCAGTGTATTAAATCTCCAGCAGCTCCATGCTGGCCGCTCATCAAACAGATGCACCACAGATTTCTCTTTTTTCCTCTCTTCAGTCATTAACTTTGCTGATGTATGTTAGTAGCTCATTGTTCCTTTAACCATTTTCACACAGCAGAATAGCTCAGAAGGTAAAAATAGAGTTAAGACCTGCTTTCAAGTTAGCTAATCAGGAAGTTTAAGACCGGAAATGGGAAAAAAAACTCGACAGACTTTCTCCCTCACTCTTCTATTTCCTCCTGTGTGCACATACACAGCTCTGATGTTCTGTCTGAGTCAGTTAACAAGTATTATAGTGTGTTAGTGTTAGAGCGTGCAGGGACAGAACTAATCATGTGCAACGTTCAAATGCAAAACCAGAAAGCAGAGTAAAGTTTGTAACAGCCCACAGAGGAAAAGCAGAGCTGGAGGTCGGTGAAAAAGCCTGCAGATGTGACATGATTGTGGATTATGTTTGGAAAGTACATCCGATATACAAAATAACAAGTCTCTGCTTCTTATCATCTCAAAGACATTTAAATTTGCAATGTGTGCTGATGGATTACCAACATAAAGACGACACAGAGGTAATGTGGAATACATTTCAGTTCAACCAAACTATGAGAAAAAGTGATGCTAAATAAGTGAGGAGTGATTGTTTGAAAGCATGGAAGTAAATACCTGTAGTTAGCAGGACTGGGTACAAATAAGTTTAGTGAAAATACATTATAAATGTAATTTTTTGTTCAAGTCACCGTATAAATGTCTCCACACAGACGGCTCCTGCAGTAGCGGTGTCAGTTAGCAGTGTGGGAGCGTGGTGTTAGATTTGGGGATATAAAAAGACATAAAAAGGTGATACTTGGTCCTGCAGAGATGAAGTCATTCACACACATTGCAGATTTAGATGTCAGTGACATAATCAAAATCAGGACTCACCCAGAATGTTTTCAGCTAATCTGTCCATGTAGGAGGGACCTTAAAGGCAAAGATGCAGATGGATTACAGCATATCATGGCTGCTGAAAGCTTTCAGACTGAACAGTTTTCATACATTTAAGACTTGAGAGTGAGTTCTTGTACTCAGTCTGTGGGCTCTCTCCCTTTAGGCTTACTGTACAGTTGTATTGCTCACCTGAATTCACAGCTGGTCATCTGCTCGGTCTTAGCATTTTTATTAAGAACTCAGATTTCTGAGAGCATGCAATCATACAAAAGCAGGGCTTTTATACATGAGCTGACTGCACAGCCATTCTCTAGTCTTAGCATCCTTTCACTTCTTCACGAAGACATTAATGTATTATTATTTCAGCATGCAAATAAGGAGCTGTTAGTAGAAGGCCTGTAAACGACAATTTAAAATTAGTCGCTATGCAGAGAGAAGATTAGGCAAGCTAGGAAATCTGCTAGCAGGTGATTTAGCCCACACAAAGGTGCCTGCCACAGTTTAGTAAGACGGTCAGGTTAGTGAAGGAAAAGGCAAATCACACAAATCTAACACTGTAAACTGTGAACATGTTAACTATAGGGAATCAAGCTTTGGGTAACACCAGTCACGCTGTGACTTACAGTGTGTACTGAAGAAAGACGGTAAGCAGTGAGCTCAGAGTTAGAAGTCTCTCAGGAAACAGGGCGACCTCTTGCACAGCTGCTGGGGAAAGCATGAGCAAGCACGGGAAAAGGTGTGACTCAAAGCATGCATATATGTATATATATATATATATATATAAACCTTTTACATAAATATTACCATTTTAAAATTTTATGTATTAATCTTACAATGAGCATTAATCTCTGGATGTCTTTAGCTTCAGTTTTTTAAGAAGAAAATCAGCCACAGTCTGAAATTCAAATCCACATAAGTTTGGCTTATTTAAAAACACTCACTGACAACAAGCTGCACGCTGAACGTTCTCGGGGGGTTGAGCCGTGGAAAAAGACACGTGTAGTTCCCGCTATCAGACACCCTGGTGTTGTTGATCCTTATGGAGGCGTTACCGTGTTTCAGTTCTTCTTCCAGGTGAGAGACCCGATCTTTGAACTGCTTATCTTGGCCTGGTCGTCCATTATTGTAATGGTCACCACCATCATACATAAAAACCTCCTGACTACCCTTCTTCCAGTCAAACAGGACATTAGTGATGTCCTGTTTGCTGCTGAGAGCACAGGGCAGAACGACAGCGCTCCCTTCTTCCACGATCACTTCAGTGAGTGTGTCCACTGAAAAAACTGAATGTGAAACAACACATGTAAATCATTGTGTTTAACAAAGTAAATATATACAAACACACCCTTTTGTTTGATTACCATACCATAATTTATTTAAATAGCACTTTAAAAACAACACATGGCTGACCAAAGTGCTGTACAGCAGAAATATAATAAATACAATAAGAATAGTAAATACAATAAATAAATAACAAAACAATAATAGTGTTAGTTACCCACGGAGGAAAAGCCAGCAAATAAAAATGAGTTTTTAAACTGGATTTAAAAACCACCACTGCGGTAGATTGCCTAATGTGAAGAGGAAGCTCATTCCAAAGTTTCGGGGCCACAATAGAGACCGCTCTGTCAGCTGTGATTTAGGGACAGAGCAACAGCTGCTCAGCTGAGCGGAGGGAGGGGAGATAAAGGGCTTCAGCAAATCGGCCACACCACCTAAGGATTTTAAAATAGATTCTAAATTGTATTGGAAAACAGTGTAAGGAGGCCAGAACCAGAGTAATATACTCAAATTTTCTTTTACCAGTTAAAAAACTGTGCTGCAGCATTCTGCACCAGTTGCAGACATGACAGAGTGCCCTGGCCAACCCCTATTAAAAGGAAGTTGCAGTAATCCAAGCGTGAGGTTATGCCCATCACCCATCAGACCACCGGGAAAATCCCCGGTATGCCAGATTACCAGACCAGTCCTGCTGACCATCCTCACATCACATACAAGTGTTTGGGATGAATAAGACAAAGAAAGACAGACAGACAAAGAACGATTCATAAGACCCCTATGACTGAAGGATCAAGGCAACAGTTCAACCTGTCCGGGATAGGGTTACGGGGCCCAGCCCTAGAGCCAGGCCCGGGGAGGGTGCCCCAGTACGAGCGTCTGATGGCCGGACGTTAGTCCATGGGGCCGGTACAGCCCGAAAAACGGACATGGGCCTTACAGTCGCTGTAAAATCTCGTATTTAATAAATGATGTGTGCACGACTTGACACTTTGCTACTGTACATAAAAGACTATGCAGTGTTACCGGTCTGCGATGTGATGAAGTACAGAAGATGTCGAGCGAGGTGTGTCATTGTTGCTGAGAGTTAGAGAAACTCGTGGAAGTAGATGGGCGTCGCGTGAAAAGCGATAAACAGGCGCTGTGTCGTCCGTTAAGATGGTTCCAAATGTCGATTCTATCGATACCAAGTCGGCATCGGATCGACATTAGCCTGGTGAGATCGATTCTTTACTTTAGGTTCCATTCTTGTTTGCAATGCTGTGCTTGTCGCTACCCGATCCGTACCGGAAACCCGATCGGTACCCCGCATGCGCAAATCTTACGTCACTTCCTCTCTTTGCCAACATTGCGACACTCAATATATTTGAATGACACGGTTAGCGCCCAGTTAGCT